TATACTATATGTATATTTATGCTTCATACATAAAATGAGTAAGCAGAAGACTCATTCTATTCAAAACAGAGTTAAGAATAACTATATACCATTTTTAAGTTATGAGAAAATTTTAAAATTGAGAAGTTAGCATTTTACTAAGTATGTTGAGTAACTTTTAATGAAATTTATTTATTTATATAAATTATAATGTATCAAATTACATATATAAATTAGCAATTTATATAAATACATAATAATAATAGCAATGTAATCAAATTTTAGAAAAATCATTGAAAACAATTACTTTTCCAGGAAGAGTAAAACAATAAAAAAAAACTCCTAAAATTATTTTTTAGTGAACATAACTCTTGAGATTAAAAAAAGAACTTTTAGACCTTTTAGAAATTTTAGAACTTTTAGCTGCTAGATATTCATTCAAATATTATCAACATTTTTCTTTCCAGTACTGGGCAAAATAATGTTTCATTGAATAACATTTGTAAAATTAAATAATGAAATATACACAGTTATTTATTTTCAAAGTCCATGTCACACACAAAACCTTTATTCCTTGTGAGGAGTAAATACCATTCACAAGGCAGCCAATGGCAGACAATAGACATGTATAGGTCCTCGTGATATGACTTATGATTAAGAAAAATTAATCTAGAAAAAGTCCTCCAATCACAGCCATCTATTTTTGATCTTATATACATTTGTGTATATAAAGATACGTATATCTTTATATAAAGATGTGTATATAAAGATCTTTTGATCATATATATATATATTTATCTTACATACATTTTGGTCTTATATATATATTCTGTTCATATTTTGATCTTAAATACATTTTGTGCATGTTTTATGAACTTAATGTCATTGGTAATTGTGTGATCCCCAAGATAACTGAATGACAGAATGATATTTTGTCAGGTGTGGAGCCATTGTAATCACTAAAATATATTCCTCCTCCCAAGAACTAATTTTCATCCTCTTGGAGACATTATCACTCCCAGTGAGAATGCATAATCTTATTAAGATAAGGTCATTGATCTTGAGAGCTTTAGAATCTTGTTTTTAAAAATTTTATTATCATCAAACTCAGGTTTAAATGATGAAAGCATCTAATACACGCTTGGTTATGGGGTCCATTGTTAGTTCAAGCAATATTTTTTGGAATATTAACCACCTGACATACCTGATAATACATGCTAGGGATATGTAGGTGAATAACACATAGATGACACGTGGTTCCTACCCCTCAAAATTTACTGTTCAAATAAGTAGATAAGTATGTAGGAAGGTGATTTTAATACAATATGGCAAGTACAGTTGTAGTTGTGGGCAAAGAGGAGGGATATTAGTTTAGTTTTCCCATGGGTTAGGAAAACACGAAGGTGACAGATAAATTTCATATTAAAGGATGAATAGAGAATGAGCTTAGAAGAACCCCTTTGGTATATGGGGGCACAAAGAGAACAACTTAAGTGAAGGGGAAATGAGCAATGGTAACATGTGGCTATATAATTATGTGCCATTTGTAGAAGAAAAAACAATTCTAAGCATCTAAGAGTTAGGCTTAAAGAGACCATGTTATGGGGGAATGCCTGGGTTGCTCATTCGGTTAAACACATGGGAGTCTTGGTTTTGGTTCAGGTCATGATCTCATGTTTCATGAATTCAAGCCCCACATTAGGCTCCATGCTGACAGCTTAGTATTCTCTCTGTGCTGACTGGTTAGGCCCCTCTCTCTCTCTTCCTCTCTTTCTGCCCTTTCCCTACCTGTGCTCTCTCTCTCTCTCTATTTCTCTCAAAATAAATAAATAAATAATAAATTTTAAAAAGTAAAGAGACAGTGTTCTGGAGATGAAGTTAGAATATAGGTGGAGGAAAAGCCACCGACAGCAATCCATGTAATATTATAGAGCTTGGATTTTATTCTGTCCATTGGTGCTTCTTAATCTTTCTCACTGAAGTGCACCTAATGACAGAGACTACAATAATACTGCATTGATAGCAGGATTATTTAGCTATCAGTTAACTATTAGCCTAAAAATTCATATGAATTTTGGATTTTATTTCATTACATATCTACTTATTAATATAATAATCCTTTAAAAATTACCTCCAAAAATTTTGAATAAAATTGATTCTATAAAGATATTCCATGTTAATATTTTGAATTTCCCCTGGTACGTCTCTGTATGTGTGGTAATAGGCATGCCTGGGTTTGAGAAATAAGTATCACCTTAGGTTATAAGGACAATTTAAGGATAGTAGAAAAGTAATATCATATCCATATTTCTTCTTTAAATAGAATATTCATGGGCAGGAGATGAGGATGAATTTGAAGAAGAGTGGAAAACCATTAGGTGATTACTGTTAACAGCACAAATAAATGTTAAAGAAGTTAGGCTTCTCCTCTCCTATAGAAACTGGGAGATGGGAGTGCTATCTTCCTAGATGATTACGTTTTAAAAAAATGGCTCTTAGATCCTTGAGAAAAACATTCCTGGGTTGCAAAACTGGCAAGAAGTTTTTAAAAAGATATCATGTGAAAGAGACAGGGAAATAATTTACAATAGTAGATTTAAGTAAATGCTTTAAGAAATGGAAACTTGCTGGGACACCTGGGTGGCTTAGAGTCCTACTTCAGCTCAGGTCATGATCTCATGGTTCATGGGTTCAAGTCTGCATTGGGCTCTGTGTTAACAGCTCAGAGCCTGGAGCCTCCTTCAGATTCTGTGTCTCCCTCTCACTCTGCCCCTCCCCCATGCTGTGTTTCTCTATCTCTCTCAAAAAATAAATAAAACATTAAAAAATATAAAAAAGAAATGGAAAGTTGGGGGTGGAATGGGCTATAGTCAGAAAAAAAAAGCTGTCTAAAGTCTAGTCAGGCTAAGGGGAACATTTAGGGCCTCTTGATCCGTGCTAAAGATAACATTTTAAAGTTGATCTCCAACAATTTGTATGTAAAGTAGTAAGGAAAAGAAGAACAGAAAAGTCAACATATAAATAAATATAGGTGTATGACAAGCAAAGAGAAAAGATCAGTGATTCCATTGGCTTGAGCCCATTTATACGCTCTTTTGTTTTGAAAGATTTACTTGATCAGAAGCAACACTGTTTGGAATACTACCACAGTGGGTAATCAGGACCAACATTCAGCAAAATATCACACCCTGCAAGTCTGTGAATGGTGGTGTTGACAAAAACATTATGTACAGGGAAGGTTGATCCATATTTAAAGTATATATGTCTTTTTCAGTGAGGATGACTCTCTGCCTCCTCATAATGGAAAAGATCCAATATCATCAACTGCCACCTATTTACTGACTTATTTTTCCCCACACTAGAAAGTGGTATTATCAGAAGTTTAGGGTTGGTCTTTTCTGTTGGCAGAATAGATACTTAATATTAGTAGCGTTTGGTAAGAGAAATTTGGTAAGAGAATTTAGGTCAGATTTGGTAAGAGAAAGTCCAAGTTTTGAACACAAACATTGCTTCCATCTCTAAGATCAAGAGCACTTTCTACATGGGCTCATTTACCTTGTAATGAAGTGGCTGGGGGTAAGGAATGGCTAACCTATGTGCAAATTTTGTCCACTTTACTATTGAAAGTCTCCTTTGGCTAACATTCACATGGGACAAACGTATTTTTATAGTATTTTCACATTCTGTAAGACTCATCCATATATGTCTTTCCAGACTTTGTCACTGTCTTCCATCCCTGTTCCTTCCAAGTCTTTGATCATCCAACCAAACCATCAGAACTATTTATGGAACTCTCTATGAAGCTATAGGTATAAAATGAGTGAGGAGAATAAATGCAGCATGAATCATTGTTAAAGAAGTCTGAGCTACTTGCTCATACAACTTATATCTTTTTCTTAAAGTTTTTAAAAATGTTATTTATTTTTGAGAGACAGAGAGACATCAGAATGTGAGAAGAGGAGGGGCAGAGAGAGAGGGAGACACAGAATCTGAAGCAGCTTCCAGGCTCTGAGCTGTCAGTAGCCCAAGGCGGAGCTTGAACTCAAGAACCATGAGTTCATGACCTGAATTGAAGTTGGCCGCTCAACCAACTAAGGCACCCAGGTATCCCATCAATTTATTTCTTTTATACCTGTGTGAGCCCAGTCTCTCTCTTTTTTAAAAATATTTTTATTTATTTCTAGGAAAGAGAGAGAGACAGCGTGAGCAGGGGAGGGTCAGAGAGAGAGGAAGACACAGACTCTGAAATAGGCTCCAGGCTCTGAGCTGGCAGTCAGCACAGAGCCCGACGCTGGCCAAACCCACGAACCGCGAGATCATGACCTAACCGAAAGTCGGACACTTAACCGACTAAGCCACCCAGTCTCTTTTTAAACTCTTTCTCTTTGATTCTAAACTACTGTCAAACATCCTCAAGACTTGTTTGTGATAGGAAGCTCAGATTGCATAGTCAACTGATATTATGGTATTTTTTAAAAGGAAGAATAATCATCTTCAGAAGAAACGTAGAGTTGCTCCAGATTTATGGTTTTGGGGATTCTCCTATTTGAGCTTATAGAAGGCTCCATATAATGTCCTATTTACCAAAAATGTTTTAAGTGTAATTAGATCTATCCATTCAAAAGACCATAGTGGAAAAGTAGTTTTTTTCTGCGGCCTGGACTTGTTGCAGAACTTTCTTTTCCTCAAATTTGTCAAATTTACTGGTGATTCAGGAGATTAATCAAAGTAGCACACTTATCTGTGGTATCTGTTACCTCCCAAATACATAAAGACTGACTTTGTGTTGTACTATTTTTTCATGATAGATGGTGAGAAATGCAGCAACTCATTTTTCACTGTAGCAAGGATTCCATCCACATGCTTGTACCCCTAGAAATTTCAATGAAATCAAAGAATCCTGAATTTTTGTAGAATTATTCTCTGGGTTGCTTTAGATACTAAGGAATCTAAAGTATTTGCTACTCCCTGTTTATCAGTTTCAATCATCAATAGTGGACCAATGGGATATTTTGCAGAATGTTGAGATTGTCAACGTCTCTACAAATTGTCTCCTGCAGGCCTTGAGGTAAGAATGTGAAGGTGTATTCTTGGCCTTCTCTGGTAAAATAAAACTTCTTTTTTTGTCCTTATACATTGATATGGGAATATACACTAGGCAGATCAATAGCTGCATATTAGCTGTCAGAGACTATGCAGATTTACTCAAGTGAAGATATTTCACCTGGGAAAACAGCTTCAATTATATTCACTATCTGAGTAAGCTTGTGATATTCCAGTCATCCTCCAATATCTACCCAACAAATTTCTTCACAAACCAATGTTATGATTACGGTGAACATGTAATAGATATTATCCATCCCTGCGTCTTAACAAGTCTTCAGTGTTGGCAGTAATCTTTGAAATTCCTTTGGGGATGTAACATTGCTTCTGAATTACTATTTTGATAGGTATGCAAATTCCAGGGGCTTTCATTTTAGCCCTTCCTACTATGGACCTTACCTTATGTGTCAGAGTCAGTTTAGGTATTCTACCAGTTTCCAAGTATGTCTATTTTAATTATACAGTCAGGGACTGTTGAAAAAAAAAAAAAAGATGGTGAGTCTGTGTACTTATTAAGTCCACTATCATTCAGATTTTGGTCAAGACACCTTTTATTGGGGTGCCTGGGTGGCTCAGTTGGTTAAGCGTCCAACTTCGCTCAGTTCATGATCACACGGTTCATGGGTTCGAGCCCCATGTTGGGCTCTGTGCTGACAGCTAGCTCAGAGTCTGGAGCCTGCTTCAGATTCTGTGTCTCCCTCTCTCTCTGACCCTCCCCTGCTCACGCTGTTCCTCTCTCTCTCTCAGAAATAAACAAAACATTAAAAATAAAGACTCCTTTTATTACCTTACCACTATAAATCTCCATTTTGCCTCATGGGGCACAGTATCGTTTTGAGGCCCCAAGAAATTATTGACAGTTCACCATGTTTAGTAATCCCCAAAAAGTCTAGATGATTACTTTTTCCATATTCACCTAGAGGTTTTTCAGTTACATAGTTCAAAGTGTGTTCTTGTAGGCCTCCCATCTGTTTCATTTCTAGGAAAGCTATGTCACTGTCAGAGATCCCTGAATGCCAAAATTTTTTTATTACTGACATATCTCTGTTGAACTTGATGGCAAACATGCTCATCTTGTTTTTGGCAGTTAAGTGTTGTTGCTTGGTCTCCGTCACTCTGGAAATACTATTATCTTCAATGAAATGAGGAACCCATCTCAACTGCCATATCTTGCATTGTCATATCTGGTTAAATAAGAAGAGGAACCACAGAGATTTAAAAGGATAAGGACACTATACTTAGTAATGTAATTGACAGTGCATAATGAAGGGAGCATCTTCTAGGTTGTCTTGGTGGGTAGTTATATAGATCACACATTAATCCACTCCAAAACTCCCATCTCTCTAGGCTTTGAATTCATACTCATCATTCAAGGGGAGCACCAATATCTCATTCTCACTAAACGTAGCCATTAAATCCTTATTTCAGTCAACCAAGCAAGTAAGATATTTGCTTGATTTTGTGTTATATTCCATCCTCCCATGTATATTACCCAGAGTTCTGCTGAAAACTATTAGCACAATCTTGTAATCATTTGGAGTATAAACTATTTCTTCTTGGGTAATACCATGTAACTGATACCTAGAGCATACCCTTACAAGACATCTGCCCCAGGTGAAGTTACCAGTTTTCATGCAAAGGAAGAGTAGTCTACTCAGACACAGGAATGCAAGCTACTTCCATTAACAAGGGACTTTCATTGTGTCTCAGAGGTCCAAGATGTTCAGTTTCATTTGTGTTCACTAACACAGAAATCCTCATTCAAAGTTTTAAGGGCCTATTATTTTCAATCAGTGTTCCTATATTCACATGTACAATTTGGGAAGAATGTGAATTTAATGATGCTCTAATACTTCAACCTGCACAACTAAATTTAGATTTTAGTTTTTCAATAATATCAATTCATAAGAGAGATCTTTTGCTATTGTTGTTGTTTCCCTGTAAGCATTCAAATATACTTGGGACTCAGGAGATTCTGCTCCATACTACAGTCCTTTTAGTTACCATTATTGCAGCTAAGTTCAGCAGCCATATGAACTTCCAAGGCACCGAAATTGGAACTTCATCATAAACAAGTACAGTGGTACCATGACTAACTGTGATGCCACTGCATGCCATGCATCATCAGTATATATTTTTCCATTGGCAAGTAGTTCAGCACCATATTCAAATCTAAGGAAAGGACTAAACATGTCCCCAAATCTCATCTTTGAATGTCTGTCTCCTGGGACTACTTCTGGTATTAATTCTGCATCAGTCAGGGTTCAGTCAGGACAAATGACACCAGTAATTTGGAGAGAGAAAATTCAATACGAAGAATAATTAACTAATACATTTAATTAAAGGTATTAACAGAGAACTTCAAGTATAGTATAGTGTAGTGTAGTGTAGTATAGTATAGTATAGTATAGTATAGTATAGTATAGTAGTAGCAAAAACAAAAACGTAGCCACTTCTGCTAAGGCTTAGGGACAGCAAACTAAGAACTCAGCAGGTTTATCTCACTCCAGGACTAAGAATCTAGTCCTTTTGGGCTGAGGTGGCTGCAATGGAAAATGTAGCTGCCTGGTTGTAAGAAATTTGCCAAAGGTTGAAATTCAGAAACGGTCTAGAAGAGTGGTCTGCCAAGTGGCTAGAAAAGACTTGCTAGAAGTCGTTGGGTTAAGTCGTGCTGGAAGAGGTCATCAAGAGGATGTAATAGCTGGTTGACCTGAAACCTGGAATCAGGCAATAGAAGACTCCTCACTCTATCCCGTCTTTGAAATTTATGTTCTGCCCACCATTCCCACAGTGGGAGCTGTTCTGAGATCATAGCCTTGAGAGATTAAGGTGTTGTTGAGACCATCCATATGGTATACATGACTAAACCCAGATAAAGCCTTTATGCAAACTTTTAAGATTCTGGTAGACAGGTACAAAAATCTATTTGTCTTGTAGGTGCTCAAGATAAGACTCCTATGTATGTTCCCTTACCTGTTAAACCTGCTGCCTACCAATCTGGAGGGGCTTCCTCTTTCTTCCATCTCTCCATGCCCTCCATGTACAGGGACCTGTTTGTGAACCAACAAAATGTCACAAAGGAATATCCAGGTAGGTGGTTGGAGAGTGCAAGACATAGTTCTGTGATGGATATGATGAGTAATACTGAACACACACACACACACACACACACACACACACACACAGCAATTTGCTGGTGACAAAACAAAAACTGCACACTGGAATTCAGGAATGAAAACCCTTTCTTCTACTACCGCTTTGCAATGTCCCTCCATTATCCTCTACTAACAGTAAGCTGGCTGACAAAGGAGAGAGGTTTACAGAGTCCTGATCCAGTATCATAAAGCAAGAGAAGGGTAGATTTGGAGTTGAGGTGACTGAACTATAACTATTGCAGAGAAGACGACAAGTACAGTTTTGGGCATTGAGACTGAGGTACCTTTAAGACACTGAGGTAGATGACTAGAAAATGTTTAGGTATGGTGTTTCAGAAATATTTTGGTGTTTTAACATAGACGTAATTGTTATCCATATGAATGAGATGCTAGAGGAGAGCATGTAGAGTGAATGCTAGTGGGCTAAAACAAGAGTTAAAGCAAACACCATTATTTGATAGGTGGTCAGAGAAGATGAGAAGCCCACAAAAGAGATCTAGAAAATGTCAGATTAGGGCAATAAGTTCATAGGAGCCTAAAAAGTAAGTGTTTATATAAGGCACCTGGGTAGCTCATGCGGTTGAACATCCCATTCTTGATTTTGGCTCAGGTCATGATCCCAGGGTTATGGTATAGAATCCCATGTAGGGCTCCATGCTGAGTGTGGAGCCTGCTTGAGACTCTCTGTCTCTGTCTCCCTCTCTGTTTCTGTTTCCCTCTGCTCTCTCCCTTATTCTCATTCTCTCTCTCTTAAAAAAAAAAGTAAACGTTGATAAAGGAGAGATAGATCACCAAAGTAAAATCAACTAGCAAGAAAAGACATGAATAAAGGCAATATATATTCCTGATTTAAAACAGACTGACATAAGATAAATCCAAGTTTTTTTTTAATTTGAAGAGATGATTATTTTGAGAAGTTTGAAAAGAAAAAGACACACATGAAGCAGCAAGCTGGGGACAAATGAATGATCAAATGATATAATCTAATTTTTGCATAAGAAGAGTTTGAACATTTTTTAGCCCTGCATGTGTCCTTTGCTTGGCTCACATTATGTTGTTTAAAAAAATGTGACTTTGAATATCTCTGAAGGGGAGACATGAGTTCCCTATTATCTTTTATGCATCTTGTAACATTTATTTACATTACCTGCCTTTCTCCTGCGGGCATTTTAGAATACTGACATTTGTAATGCATGTTTCTTAAATTTGAATTAATGGAGATTATTAGTTATACTTCTAGAAAATCAATTTATAGTATAATGGATATGAAAAACATGAGAACTAAAAAGCAACTTTGAAATAGTTGACTTTCATGCCTTCATTTAATAGTTGTGTCTTAAAACCAGTGTTCTAAGAACAACAAAGATAAATGACTTCTTTAAGATAATTTGGCCAATTAATGGCAGATATATGGTTACAGCTGAGGCTCTTATCCACTACACCGTTAGGAATACCGCCACAGTCTACATGGTCCCTTCTATTCCCATCCTGACACTGTCCTTAGTATCTGGTTTCAAAACAAAACAAAACAAAATAACAACAGTAGGTCAAAGAGAAAGCTTATAGGAAATAAAACCCTGCCCTTCAGGAATTGGCTAGAATGTAATTTCACTGTTTTTCTTTTCAACCAAGAGATTTTTCCTATGTTTTATCTAACAGGTTAAAGCTCTGACTTGGAGTTTGCTAGCCCTGGGTTTTAAAGTCAATGGTATTGCTGATTTCCACCATACTTTAGAAAATTTCTTGGTATACATCTTCTTTGAGCCACTGAAATGGTGCAGTTAGTAGAAACAGCATCCTTTAATCAATGAAATTGCCCCTCATCTTTCACTAACAGAGGTAAGGTAAGAATGAATGAGATAATCTTGGCACATTGCATTGAGATTTTTAAATGCTGCAGTAGAAAGCAAAATATCAGTAATCTCAATTTTCCTCTTCTATTTCCAAGGAATGCATAAGTTTTCAGTGTTTCAGTACATAGGAAACCAAGGAAATGAATAGCAACTACAGAAAACTGAGGAGAAGACTTAAGTTGCTTTTGTAATAATTTTCAGGAAGACAAGAAGGAAGTGAAAATACCTGTTACCAATGGCGAATGACTGCTTTTTCTGCCAAGTCTTACTGAGATCCAACTTTCCCCTTTACATGCCTCATTTTTCGTATGTAATATAGGGACACTAGAGCATGGTAGTTAAGAATAGATTTCTATAGAAAGACAGATTTGGGCATAATAGCAAGGTGAAATGTATTTTACCTCTTGCTATCAGTGAAAACTTGAGTGACAATTTCCCTAAGGCTTGGTTTCCATCATTATCAAACAGAAATAAAATAATTCCTAATTTATGAAACCAGTGTAAGAAATCAATGAAAAATGCATATTAGGTTAGCAAAGTGCCTGGTACTTCATAAGCATTTAACGAAAGTTAGTTATTATTTACTATTATTACTGTTACTACTACGAGTAATAATGATACAAGTAATAGTGAAAATAACAATGTAGTCCTTATTATGTCACCATTCTGTATAAAACTCTTCAATGACTTCATTCTGCTCATGAAAGAAACTTAAAATTTAATAGTGTGTATTCAGGGTCATGGGATTAGTCACAGACAGAACACAACACATACAGATACAGACACACATACAGAAACACACTTTATACCAGATCTACGTTGGCTTGCTCATCCTTCCCAGCACATCAAGTTGTTTTGTACCTCTGTGGTAGTTGTTTCTACTATTTTTTCCACTTACTAAGAAAGCCCTATCTCTGTTGTTATTTTAATGAAACCCCAGTTTTCCATCAAAGCACCTTTTATAGAAAGCATTTCTAGTCTCTAAAATAATAGCCTTCTTCTTCATTCTTACATGGGTCCATTGTTTGGAAGTTTGCTTTATCCATTAAATTTCAAGCCTTTAGGACCATGACCTGTACCATCTTTATCTGCACATCACACAACATTGGGGTGACACTTAGAATCTGTGAAAAGAGCAAGTAGATTTTCTCTTTGGATCAAGAGGGCAGTCCATCTCTGCCTCACTGGCTGTTTACTGCCCCTTTGATTGTTTTCTTAGTTGACAGTGTGGCTGGTTATCTCTCCCACCTGATTGTAGTTTGGCAGTGGATGTGATACTGTGTGATTTATGACCATGCTCTGAGGACAAAGAACATTTGTCCTTGAGAAGGGGAGGAGAGATGCAGCATCATATGAAAGCTTTCAAGGCTTGCAAAGCAGACTTCATGTTTTAATCTGGAAATTTATTAGCCACGTGATACTGAATATGTTCCTTAGCCTTCCTGAGCCTCTGAATCTCTCCCTGGCAAGAAAGAATAGTTATTTTTACATCACAGAATTCAGTAAAAGATTGAATGAGATAAAATGTGAAGCAATTTGTGCAAATCTTGGCACTCAACACATTATACTCAATGCAAAGTACTTTTCCCCTCTTTCCTCCTGAGAGGTATCAGGATATAATTTATCACTGCAAGAATAGATTCTTATCCATCTTATAGATAAGATATTCAAAACATGGAGTGTTTTTAAGAATATGGGTCACTTGATAATTGAAAAGGACCAAGTGTACAGATGATAAACTAGAATTGATAGTGAACACAGTGTTCATAAGGCATAAAAATAGCATTGAACAAGTGCTCATTAATCTCTTAATAATGTCAGTCACAGAATCAGAGGTGAGTAAGATTAAGGTGTCAACCTTGTGATATGGTTCTTTTAACTTCTAAGTTCTTGGATTTCAAGTGACACAAAATCAATTGAAGTCTGACAGCTGTTTGGTAAGCTATGTAAAATGAATTTGGTGAGTCAGCTGACTCCTAAAGGCTAATGTCTTCAAAGTAGCGGATATGTCTGATAGCTCTGATTTGTCACCAGTTATTGTGAGCTATTTTAGCAATTTGGCTAAAAAAAGATAGGGGAGATTCTATTACTGAGTAACACTGGTCTGAGAAGATTTTTCTTCTCTCAACAAAAATATAAAAGCATTGAATTATAAACTGCATTAAATATTAATAAGGTACACAGTTATATTACAAACAAGTATAACAGTATACCCTGATCTTTTTCGGTTATATCCTTTCTGTTAGTCTACATTAGGCATCTGCAATACAATTCTATTGTATCTCTTCCCAGAAACATGCCTTCTTAGTTTTCATAGTCTTCTTGAGTCCTGCTGCGGATCAAATCATAGCTGGACAATTTCTCAGCCTTTCTAATCCATTCTAATTAAAGCAACAATTATCATTTCCCTAAATTATTTTAATCAGATTACTCCCTGCACAGGAAACCATTGTAGCTCTTAATTAGCTCTTGAATCAAACTCTTCAGCATCTGCCCCAAGGCCATCAACTCCTGTTGCTCATTTTACTGGTTTTATTCCATGGTGCACATATTCAGATAGAATAAACCTTCTTTTCATCTAAACACACCTAGTCACTTCTGTCTCTGAGTTTACAGGCTTCTTTTTGTCCCTTTTGAGAATGTACTCTTTTACATTACACTAAGTTGTGTGGCCCTCCTCCTTCAAGATTTTTCCTCCAAATTCCCTTCTCTGATGAACTCTAACTTGTCTGGTTATCTAGATTCTGTTAAATCCTTTCACTTCAGCATTTCATTAGCTTTTTGGGATTGAGTTTTATAGGGTTGAGAACTTAGCTTAAAAAATTAAACATTCAATACATTTTAGCTATAATGTGTAAACATATAAATTCATGTATAAACATATACATAAAATGTATAATTCTATTATATATAGTAATGCATAGTATAAAGCATAATATAATAAAGTAGTTTGTATTAAATATTATAACATGATAAATACATAGTATTTATATAAATATATACATCTATCCCAGGCTTTCTGTCTTTAAGCACTTTAGACATATATTTACAAAATGAACACAGCTCTAAAAGGCAGATTCTTTTCTTGTAGTCATTCTACTGATAATAAAAATGAAGCATGGAGAGGTAAAATAACATGCCCGAAGTAATTGGCTGGTAAAGATCGAGACTGAGTGGATTCTGAAGCAGCCCATCTGGCTTCAGATATGTACTGCTCATCACCAAACTCTAAGATAGCTGCATTAGCTTACATTCATGCATGGGTTTTCTCTGTTGGAGGTTTAATGTCTTAGTTATATTTGCTCATTTAACTCCCATATATGACTGACAGAACCCAGAGGTCAGAAACTTTACAGATTAGTCACATATCTAGAAATATGCTTTCCACAGAGTAGAATCTCATAACATTGCTGCCTACCCCACTAGCTAATATTTCAGGAGGGTTTGTTTTTTCTCATGAAATGTTGGACTAGTGTTTAATTTTTTAAGTAGGTTTATTCCAAGTTTAAGACAGCCAGAAAGTTGGAGCTCTATAAAACTCCGAAGGAGATGTTTTATTCATTGACTGAACACTGCATGTTGAACATTGGGCCAATCCCTGGAAATACAACTGGGAATTTGATGAAATAGCTATCCCATTGGAAGAGATGGATCTTAAAACCAAAAAGGCAAATATTTAAATTTTTGCTATGAAAATATACTCATTTATAATACTAATTGTACTTTTATTATACTACTCATAAGTACTCTTAAGTAGACCTACAGGGAATTATGAGACTGTGTGATAAAATGATTTGGTTTAGTTTGGGGGAATCAGAAAAGTGTAATTTGAGAAGGCCACATTTAAGGCTCCAGGGATCATTGGAAGTTGACCAGGTAGGTGTGGAGTAGAATTATGGACAAAAGAACAGCATACAAGATGGGTTCTAAGAGGATTAGGGACTGGCAACTGAAAAGCTAAAAAAGGAAGCCAGAATGGCTGTATTGCTGTGACTAACAGGAATACAGAATGGGATGAGACCGGAGAGCTGGAATGGGGCCAGAAGACAGTATATGAACCATGGGGGCATCTGTGTTTTGCACCTTACAACCCTTTCGCTGTGTCTTTGTCTTTTCTCACAGGATAGCTCTCTCAGCCCCCAGGGCTTTCCATATCCTCTCTCTAACAGCTCTTGTGAAATGACAAACTTTTCAGTAGTGACTGAGGAGGCTTAAAGTGTAATACTGTCCATGGTCCTTGTATTACAAGAAGCAGAACCTATCTTTTGTCCCAGACAAACAAATGAAGGTATAATCACTGTCTTTTACTCATTGACCATTTAGATACACGGGCAGTAGAGTAGTTATTTTGGAAGTAGTAAGACTGACGTCATACCAGTAGGCAGCTACCTACCTGCCCTTCTAAGCTTGGTAATTAGAAGAAAAGAATTTTCTCTCTCTCTAGTTCTTGTCCTTTCGGTGTTTCATCGTTGCCCGTCATTTGAGGGTGAAGGGCCTGGGGGATAAGAAGGATGTGCGTGTGGCATGTAAGAAGACAAGTAAAGAATTGTTAATTTTGTGTGTATGTGTGCATGTGCATTAAGGAAAAAGGTGATTCTGTTCCAATAAATTTGGTATGTAATTCTTTAACTGGGTGGTCAGTCATTCTCTCCCATAAATAAGTCAAAAATGTACAAAAATAATCCTGCATTTTTTCTATGGTTTTTCATTTAAAGAAAACACATTATCTAGATCTTTCTTCACATATCATGAATCATGTGGTGCTTGAATCTGCCACTTCAAGCCTTGATTAATAATATGCCTAATTGCTTTCCTTTTCCTTCTCACAGCTCGCAGATGCAGTGTTGTAGATGTGACTGAACCACATTGACGGTATTTATGCTGCAAACAAATGGTGTTACAGTCTGTGGATTTCTCCTCTTTGATCCAAATACCCTAAAGATAAAGCACAATTCTGAAAATTTATCTGTGTTTCTACTCTAGTCTCTGCTGCCTTCTTAATTTTTATACAAGCACATTTGGGATTTGAGCCCATCTAAAGGTGCACTTGAGGATTGTAGCTCATTTCTGTATAGTTCGCATGATGAGGAGCTTAGAAAATCAAAGCTTTGAGAGAGATATTTGGGACATGCACTGCTTGCTTTGAGAAGAACAGTCATTAATATTGTTGTTCTTCATGCTTTTTGGTCTTGTAAGGAGTGTAGCTACACATTTGGAGTACACGTTAATACATCAGATTTTAAAATACCCATTTGGAGGTTTTGCTGCTCCTAAACAATTTTATTTTTTACTTTTGCTAGTGTTTGCCTTCGCTAGCTTGGGATATAAGTACTATGTCTTCATTAGTTCATGCCCATTTGCTATTCAGTTCAGTGGCCTCTGGGATTGGAGCATGTGGAAGAAGGATTCTCTCACAAGGTACACAGTATGAGGAAGAGGCAGATTCTCTGATATCCGAGGTGAAGTCATGCTCTTCACAGGTAACACCTGCTGGGGGAAATGTTTTCTGAGGGAGATTTCAGTTGCACAAGTCCTATTAACCTGAACTGACATGGAGCAGATGGGGAGAGAAACAATGAACAATGAAAGTTAACTTTCAAGGATGGTGTTTGCTGAGCAAAGTTTTACTTGGGGATGAGGAATGTTTAGTAGCATCAGGGAAATAAAAAAAATAATGGATTTTGGATTTTGAGGGTAATTCAGGGTATTTTTTATCATTTTAAAATTTAAATCATTTATTAAAGTATTCATTTGATAATGTATTAAATTATGTGCCGGGTGGCTCAGTTTGGTTAAGCATCTGACTTGGGTCAGCTCATGATCTCACAGTTCATGGATTCGAACCCTGCATCACGCTCTGTATAACAGTTCAGAGCTTGGAGCCTGCTTCAGATTCTGTATCTCCCTCTCTCTGCCCCTCCCTCACTCACATCCTGTGTCTCTCTTTCTCTCTCAAAAATAAATAAACATTAAAAATTTTATTTAAAAATAAATAAATCATATGCTGGAAAAATTAAAAACATAAATAGCCAGATTCTTTTTTTTAAAGTTCATTTATTTATCTTTCATTTATTTATCTTGAGACAGAGAGACAGCAGGGGACGGGCAGAGAGAGAGGGAGAGAGGATTCGAAGCAGGCTCTGTGCTGACGGCAGAGAGCCCGATGTGGGACCAAACTCATGAACTGTGAGACCATGACCTGAGCTGAAGTCAGACACTCATCCCACTGAGCCCCTCAAGTGCCCCAAATAGCCAGCTTTTTGAAACTCCTTCCCTCCCATTCCTTCCTCCCTGTCCTCTCTGGTCTCTGTTTTTACCAAAGTTATAACATATACTCTTTAAGGTGTAAACTTTTTTCCTTATAAATTAATAGTTGTCTCATTTTCATATAAAATGAGTTCTATTTATCATTAATTCTATCCCAAATCCTGTCAGTTGTCTAAATCTCAATATATTTAGAGGATGTAAAATTTTGCAGTTTCAAGTTTTTGAAGATCCCTCTCTGAGCTTTCTAATCTGGTTGCCCTGACACTGGGAGTGTGGAGGGTCTTCTGAGAACTTCTTTATCCCAGGCCTTCTCTTCACCTTTATTCTGCTAAAAACCCCATTTGTTGCATTCCATGTGTTCCTTCACTTGTTTGGAGCACAACCTCTATTAGCTGTGAAGAAAAGGGGTGATGTGAGTTAACTTTTTCAAGAGCTAGTCTGTCTAAAATATTTTTATTTCATTTTCAGCTATATAAAATTCAATATTAGATATAATTTTCCTTTTGTAGACTTTATTGTTTTCATTTATTTTTCATAAATTTTGCATTTGGGTATCTGATATTTTGCATAGAAGTAATAATAATAGCCCACCTCACAGGTTGTTGTGAGGACTTAATGAATTACCCCGAGTTGAGCACTAAGTACCTGGCATATATTATTAAGCTCTTCATAAGTCTTAACCTTTTGAATTCAGTTATGTGAAATTCTGTTGAATGATGCATGGGGGAGGTTTTTTCTCATTTCTTATCTTTTTTCTCTCTGTCTGGAACTCCTATTATTCCTGAACAGGACCTCTAAATTTCTTACCTTTTCTCTATTATTTTTTGCCTTTGTCTCTTTATTGAAACTTCTAGGGTATTTTCTTACCTTTGAACCTTTGCCTTTCAAGTTGTCTCTGGAATTTTTCATTTTCAATACTGTATCTTAATTTCCAGTACAGTGTGTGTGTGTGTGTGTGTGTGTGTGTGTGTGTTTTATAGCATTCTTGGTTCATGGATGCCATATCCTAATTTTCTGGGTGATCTTAATTGTGATTTTATTTTGAATGTTTTGTTTCTTATGAACATTCTACTTTTCTTCCAAATTCACACTTATCTTTGTTTGTTTGTTCTGGATTCTCTAAGTTAGAGATTTTCCCAGGTATCCATTGAGTCTTAATTGTCTGCTCTTAATTAGAGGTCCATGTCCTCTAACTATTGGGTACAAACCTTCAACTATCTCATGGGCATCTTAACAATAGCCCCTTCCTTCAAAACCTGCTTTCTCCTTCAGTCTTCTGAGTTTCAGTAAATGACACCATTGCCTACCCAGCTGCTCGAGCTAAAACTTTAGACACTATCTTAGGTTTCTTCTTTTATTATCATGGACATATAATGTAGATGAGATTACCTCTACATTCTTCATTTATTATCATACACATATAATGTAATGAGGTTACAAAAACATATACCTGAGGGATACTTCTCAGCATGCTCAAGTCACAGTAGACTTCTTTTAGATCCTTCAAATTTTCAAGCTTGTTTCCCTTAAGAATAGTTGTCCTTGGGGCGGCTGGGTGGCTCAGTCGGTTAAGCATCTGACTTTGGCTCAGGTCATGATCTCATGGTTTGTGGGTTCATGCTCCGCTTCGGACTCTGTGCGGACAACCAGCTCAGAGCCTGGAGCCTGTTTCAGAGTCTGTATTTCCCTCTCTTTATGACCCTCCCCTGCTCATGCTGTCTCTCTCTCTCTCAGAAATAAATAAAACATTAAAAAATTTTTTTTAAAAAAAGATAGTTATCCTTTTGCTGGAATGGTGTTCTGGATTTCTGCATAACTTGCTCCCTTTTATATTCAGTCCTCAGCTAATTACATTATCTTCAGAGAAGCCTTTCTTGGTGTTGCAAGTAAATTAACAACCTGCTGATTCTCTATCATATCCATCTATATAAATTCTGTATCAAGTATCACTATCTAGTATTTCTTATGTTTCCATTATTTGTTTCCATGTGTATTTTTGTTTATTGTTTATCTCTTATCAATTAATGTAAGCTCCATGAGTGCAGGTACCTTGTCTGCACACAACTATATTCCCAGTGCACACAGTGGATAATATTTGTCAAATACACTGTACTATGTGATACAAAATTGGGTATTGAAGGCCCTGGTTACAGTGGACTGAGTGAAAAAGCTATTTTACTTTCCCCCAATTCTTTGCAAACCTATCCAATAAACTTCTCCTTTCTCCTTATGGATTAAATTTCCCTCAAGTTTAATAGCTTTTCCCTTTGCTTTCATGAACCAAAACTTTAGACTGATTTTATATACAAAAACTCTAGATATGTCTGGCTGGCTTAGTCGGTAGAGCATGTGACTCCTGATCTCAGGGTTGTGAGTTTAAGCCCCACATTGGGCATAGAGCTTACTTAAAAACACAAACCCAAAACTTTAGACTGTCATCTAATGGAAAACTCTTCTGTCCTAGGGCTTGGTACATTCTTAGAGTTCTGTAGTAGGAAAAGGCAAGGAGAGAAACTTGGTGGACTGCTCATAATTTCCCCACATGGCTCTTTCCTCCTCATCCCTAACTCACTAAGATTTTTCTGTCTTCTCTAGAGAATGGTGACTGCATAGCATGCTATCTAAACTGGGACACTTTTGTGAGGCAGGGTGCAATGTTATTGAAAGAGGCCGAAGGGTGCCTGGGTGGCTCATTTGGTTAAGCGTCCAACTTTTGCTCATGTCGTTATGGCTCAGTGCTGACAGCTCGGAGCCTTGAGCCCACTTCGGATACTGTCTCTCCCTCTCTTTCTGCCCTTCCCCCACTAACCTTGTCTCTCTCTCCTTCAAAAATAAATAAACATTAAAAAAAAAAAAAAAAGAGGGTTACGTCACAAGTATGAAGTGGGCCTAGCCCTAGCACACCAGGACAGGGAATCTGGTTGTCTTATTCCAGGCCCAGGCATAGAGGGGATCCAGGAAGGGAGGGGAAAAAGACAGAAAAAATGTCAACTAGTGAGGTAGAATTAGTAGTTGACAATAGAGCTTTCAGTGTGGTAGATGCACACTTGCCAGATTTCTCTTGCGTGGAACATCGTCGAGGACTTCTCAGAGCACCACTGTGCCCTTCTCCCACCAGAAGCCCAGGGAACTCTCTGAAGTTTATGATACAAGTGGGCCTCCTCTGGCTGTTAACCATGACCTCTACCTTGGAATCTGCATTCTCAGCTTCACCTCTAGCCTCCTTCTGTGGAGCTCACGCCACCCCACACAGAAAGCTCTCCTAGGTAGGTGTACTGTTCAAGATGGATCACTGTCCTCTCCAACTCTGCACCATCCACATCTGGTACCCTGGGCTCTGCCATCAGTTAATGGGCACCTTGTTCTTCTATAGTCTCCTTTCCTTTTTCTGCCCACTCCAGCCAATCTCTTATTACCTTTTAGGCTTCTTCAGGGACAACTTGTGTACCAACAGATGTCTCCATAACCCTCAGAAACATGTGTCAGGCTCATAAGTATTTCTTTGAAGGTTCTTCTTGAGGTTTGCTATAGACAAGCAATCCTCTCTCTGCCACAGCCCTCCACAAACTCTCTGTAAAGAAGTCTTTGCTACAGTTCACTTTAACTTTCTGAAGTCTCTTTTATCTCCCCTTATTTAGTTTAGGGGCTGGC